CTCTCTCTCTCTCTCTCTCTCTCTCTCTCTCTCTCTCTCTCTCTCTCTCTCTCTCTCTCACACACACACACACACACACACACACACACACATGAGCAGACCGTTTTTGTGTAGAAGGGGTTCAACCTCTGGATGAGTTGGTGAAAGTCCAACGAAACAGCCCAACGAACATGGCACCACACACACACATACACACACACACAGACAAACACACACACAGACAAACACACACACACACACACACACACACACACACACACACAAACACACACACAAACACACACACACATTACTGCCATGCCAGAAGGGGCAATGAATGATAGAAGGTGAGGAACTTCTCCTTGTAAAGCGGTGAACTCGTCATTGCTTTAGCCATAATAACAACCGAATTCGGCCATACACCCTGGAATTAGCAGGTTCAAGATGCCACCACAGATCTCATGAATGCTTGAATAGTCTGGAGTCTGGACTCTTTTGGCACCGTTACATGCCGAGGAAGGTCTAATGCCCACTGCAGTTCACAACAGCAAGTGTAAATGTCTGTCGCCTCATTAGTTATACACATAATACTGCATATCCAGGATGATCCTGAGTGCAAAATGTTGCAGCAAGAACTTGGACGTCTGACTACCCCTTCGCTTGCCATTTCGTCTGTAATCCTCTGTCACTCCATCGTGGAGAGTTCAAACTCCAAGCAGAGCACTACCAAGGCGCGAGTGCATAAACAACCGTGGAAGTAGGTGACTGCCGTTCTTTGAGCTGTTTACACCAATATGTTCTGATGTCAGCTAGACTGGCACACCGCTAGGCATGATTAATTTTCCAGGGCTCCCATAATAAAATGAGAGTCATTGGCCACAGTTTCCTCTGTTGTTCCTGCAGAATTGCACTCAGCACTTGGCATATGTATCAACCACGTGCATCATCACCATCGACACCAGAGCACAAACCCGAGAAAAGCCGGCCCGTGGGAGCTGACACTAGCTTCTTATGGGCCGCAGAAAGCGGCAAGACGCTCACTTGATGGTTATTCTTATATTTCTCATCCGGTTTCAGACTGCTTGTGTCATCGTCCCAGAAGCAGCCTCAAAGGCTATACCCAGAATGCACCATCATAATATGCTGGATGCCTGTCGATGGAGATAATGACCATGGTATACCAAGAATGTGGCATTTCACACAGCATCGGGTTCAATTCACTCTTCAATTACCAGCTCATAAACGTTTGTCCCCAAGGTACAATAAGTGCTGAAGAGGTCTCTCGAAGACCAGGGCTGGCTGGTGCTGCTGCAGCTGCTCCTGTGTCAGAAATACCCTGGATGTAGTCTCCAGAAGGGCCCGGAGCAGCCCCAGGTGCTGAAGGCAAGGCATAGAACTCGTCTTCCCACTCCAGCTCCTCTGGCATTGGCAGCTCCAATATACTTTCGACTTGATTCCGGGGGGGGAAGGGGGGTACCTGTACGTCATCTTTGCTCGTCACCGTGCCAACTTCAAAAGAACAATGTCCACAATAAGATGGCCAGATACCTCCCACAGAGTAGACCGTCCATGAGTAGCTCGCAGGAGACGGGTCCTTGTTCCCAGCCGCGTCAACTGCTCTCACCTCCACTGTATAAATCCCTTCTTCTTCCATTTCTGGCACAGACAACCTGTCGCCTTTGAGGGACTCCCAAATGGGTGGTCGCCTGCTTATTCGATACTCATAGGTCACGCCATCTTCACTGGATTCTAGCAGAAGTGCAACCCCTGCGCTGAGGAATGGGCTGCCAGGCCCGGACTTTATGTACGTATCAGGAGGGCCGAGGTCGATGATGAAAGAGTAGTTCGCAGGATTACCAACGTTTCCGAGGTCGTCAGTCACTCTTACGAAAAATGTGTGCCGACCTTCTGACAAGATGCCCAGCGTGACAGTCAGATCACTGGTTTGAACGTATGCGCCATCATCAGTTCGATACTCGATCAGTCCCTGCTTGGTCGAGTTGAACATGAAGGTTGGCATGGCTTCGTTAGTGATCCTACTTGGGGCACTTGTAATTGTGACCTCTGGTGGGCTGAGATCCACTATGAATTGGAACACAGCTGGTGTTGGATCGACCAGGTCATTATCCAGGCCTCTTGATCGGACTTGAAGTGTGTGCGGGCCCTCAGGTACTTTGATGCTGAACACAGGATTATGTCCCAGCTTCCATGGTCCATCATCCAGCTTTGTCTCAAAAGTGAACAGGACTGGAGAGTCGCGCATGGCATTTACTGAAATGTTCACGCTGTTGCCATAACTGAATACCGAGACACATGCCAAAGATGAAAAGTGGGATTAATACACATGCACACGAGAAGCGCTGAGCACAGCAACATTTAAATGTCTTTTCTTTCTTTCTTTCTTTCTTTCTTTTGTTTTTTTTAATGAAAAAAAAAACAGAACATTAGGGTTCTGGCTCCTTTTCCATTCTGGGGAGTGTCAGTCTGGTTCCTATTCCCCCGGCAAGTCAGAAAAATTACAACAGATACTCACACACGCTCCTCCCCCTTCTGGTGTGGAGCCCCGGAAAACAGCATTGATTGCTTCCCTAGGGAAGGATGTACCATTCTTCACCCCTGCATACTACGTTAGCCTGTGTTGTCGTGCTGTTGTACTTGTATGCTATTCTATTTACTTGAAATTACATCTAGTATAGGACCCTTGCTTTTTACAGCGTGCTTGATCTCAGCTCGACTTGGTTAATGCATTTGATGCTAAAACCCTAAACCGTGGCTTGATGCCTCTTCGTCTGTACCCTGTCCCTGAAGGTCGTTTCTATACCGTGTCTGTTGATTACACCTATAGTGGTTGCTGGGGTTGGTCTGCAACTGTCTCTTATACACATCTAGATGTGTATAAGAGACAGCTACTTTACAGATGAAGTTCGTTCTGGCCGGGTTTCCGGTCCACAGGTTAGCCGAAGCCTTCCTCTTTAGTACTTTAAGAGCACCTTCTTTTGGGGTC